CACAGTTCAGACTGGGTCTGCAGAGCCAGCAGCTGAGTAGCATCAAGGTTTGAAACAGGTGATAGAGGTTACATACAAACTATAGCACTAAACCACAATTTTTGAATGTATAAAAGGGTTAGAAATTAAATCTCTGATTTTTTCCATCCTCTGTTAAGCTCTCAATAAAGTACCTTTAATATCCACAGATGTACAGGATCAGCGTATATTGCTAGATAACTGGGCACAACTACTCACATTCACCTTTACAAGCTGCCATCAGAGAGTCATTATTAAATTTATAGAATGGGAAGTTTTGGAATCTTTTTGTTCATCATGATTGGATTTCTGTATTTGCATGGCACAGAGTTTCTTAAGAGTTTTTGTTGAAGACTTAGTGTTAACATATAAATGAAGTAACGTATGCTTAATATAATGTGTGAATTTTCCCATTATGCTAATACAGTCTTTATGTTCCGGTTTATATTTCAAACTTTACCCATGAATATGTCCATTACTCCAGCTTAAAAACATTTCTATAATAGATCTATAACTTTCAAATAACTTTTGCTTCTGTTTTGTGACGGTTTCTTTCTTACAAATGTTCACCAATAAAACAGCTAATTTTATCACATGTAACCAAGTGTCTTGAATTTTTCTTGACAGATTTCATTTATTAGCTGAATAGCCTCATGTTAATGATGAGCAGTAAGTAACAGATTCAGTTACTTACATTTCAATTAAATAATTCATCTGTTATTTTCTTTTAAAAAACAGAAATCAGCTTAAGTCAACTTTACTGTAACCTCAGTTTAATGCTTTTAAGTGTTGCTCACGTTGCCAGACTACTATCAAAGTTTCACATATTGAAAAATGCAACAACAAATGAGACTAAATAAATCAAAACAAAATGCAGACTGTGGTATTCTAGGAGTATCAATCAAAACTTTTAAAATATATATATATAGTTCACAAAACAAGAGAATCTATGCAGTCAGTAGCATTAAAGAAACGTGTGAAGGCCTATATAAAAAGAATTCATAAATAGTGGTCCATCGCTATATCGCAGTTCAGCTTGCGTCTTGATTGGCTGTAGACCATTGTCAATCAATCTCATGCCGTGTCTCCTCTACAGTACACAATGTGTTGAGCTTCGATCACTAGCAGTGTGACTCTAAAGTGCTGTATTGTATGTTTGTAAGTTTTCTCCCCAACAAACACAACAATGTCGACAAAACATCACCACCTGCGGGTGGACTTCTTTTTCTACAGGGTTTGAACTTTGAGAGTGTTTAAACAAGAGAGAAAAGTGTGAAAATGTCCATGCCTGTCTGAGAAAAGTGTATAAAGTGTGTAGTGAGGCGTTTTAAAGCCTTACAATATCTGTAATAATTATAAAACATAAAGTTGGCTACTTTGCGGATTTCACTTATCACGGGTTATTTTTATAACGTAACTCCTGTGATATACGAGGGACCACTGTAAAAGAAATAAATTCCACTTTCCTGAAGAATAGAAATAAAAATATTAAAACATCCCTAAGGGCAATGAAATACAGCTTAACTTTTTCTTTCTTCTTGCATCATGATCTTTTTGTGTGATGTAGTTATTTATTATCTTTATCTCTGCATTGCAGCACTTTGGATTATTATATGTAAATG